AGCGACAGGAGCTGGACGGGGGGCTACGAAAATAGGCGGTCCTGGCGGTGGAACTGTCGGCGTGCGTCCTGTAGGTATACCTGTAGGTCTAGCTGCCGCACCCGTGCCCGTAGCAATCTCAAATCTTAATAGCTCTCGCTGCGTATTGTTGTACGTATAATAGCCTCTCCTCGCAATAGTAGGCCGGCCGCGCCGGCGCTCAACAACAGCAGGATCCTCTACATCCTCAAAAGGCCCAAAAGGAATAGCTAGCTGATGTCCTCCTGGCCGAACAAACCACCAATGGTGATCTATCTCTTCCGGTTGTATATAGAGCACCGGATCTAGCCGATTTGCAAGCGCTCGGTGTAGAGGATTGTGCAGTTTGTGCGCACACGGAATGCTATAGATAGACTTAAACGTTTGAGTACAATTAAGTGGGTTGTATTTATTCGATTTGGCCTTTTAGAGCTGCTTCTTGAGGAGAACAAGCGCCTGCGGCGTCACCTTTTGATATAGGTTACGGAATTCGGGTTCTTTAACATCATGCGGAGTATAGGCGTGATATCTAGCCATCTTATCTTCGAACTTAGACCTGGAGTTAAGGATAAGGTTCTATATGTTAAGGAGAACGTCGAATAGATGGCCAGTTGACACCTGAAGGAAGCCCTTGAGTAGGCCGTGCGAGCCCTCGTTTCGCGATGTAACTCTGTGAGAAATCGAATCAGCATCATACATCTCTGCCACTTCCTTATTTCTCAGTCATTCTTTGAGCTATGCTCTTGTCCTCTTCAGCGCTGCCTGTTCAGCACGTACGTAGACCCCGTGCAAAGTTTGGGCATTAAATTTAGACGTCTTGGTGTTGAGAAAAATCACTTACGTAGTACTAAAGTGCCGCACCTTACAGGTGTAGCAGGTGGCCCAATTCCACCTGCATAGCCACCACTCATTCTCCATATACGTCACCAGGTCAGGGCGCTCCTCGTAGTCGTCAAGTAGCTTCTTCCAAGCCTCATCGAATTGAGCCATGACTTCCAGCTTCATCGTGGCGGTCCAACGGGTAAGGAACTGCCCCCTTTTCTCCTGTTCCTTCTTCTGAATAGCTTCCTTCTCTTCATCTAATATAGGCGCAGGTGGCGCGCTGCCTGCGGCGTACGTAGGTTCCTCCTTGTACACCTCAGCCAGTTTGGTGACGATATTCTTTTCAATGTGCCATACACAGAGGAGGCGCGCGACCGTAGGCTATTGTTAACGTAGTGCGTTCCTTAGAGCTTGTTCTTTATCCGTTAAGAAAACGCGTGGAACAAGAGAATAGCGCTTAAAGAGCTCGAAGAGCTGCAGTACTGCCCAGTCGTAGTTCGCCTCCTTCTCTTTTGGCAGGAAATAATAGGCAATTTCGAAGTTGTTGCTAGTACACGTGACGCCGGTAATATACAGGAAGGGCATACCGAATCTATTGGTTTTGTAGGTGCAATCCAATAGAATAACGTCGTGATTAGCCCGTAGGATCTCGATAGAATCCGGATGGGCAAAGAAGAGGTGTT